TAACCACAGACGCCAGACAACCGTATATTATTTGTTTCGGTTACAATTACTAGTCATTGATGGTGGCCTCCTGGCATTGAGAAATATACTGGACCAGTCCCTGAAATCTCAATGCATTACTTTCAGTGCGTGCTTGAATCAAGGAAAGTCAACAATAACACATTTGAAAAGCCGCGGCGTAATAACCCAGGTCCAATATGACGTGTTGTTTCCAGCGGGTGGTAAAGTCCCAACTTCGTCAGATTTGGACATCACGCTGATCATTTGTCTTCTCAGAAACCTGAAATGTTTCGGGCTAAATAAAAAATTTGACTGGAGGGCAACACCAGCACCAACCGATGTAACAATGGAGGCAGACATATATCGGTTGAAGGATTTCCGAAATAAAGTAAGTGAATTATGAAAAAGTCAATTCGAAAGGCAATTTTAAATTCCTGCCTTGACAATATAAAAGAATAAAAGTAAATGTTTTATATATTGACATTATAAATATCAACGTATTTTAAAAGTGTTTAATTTCTTCCAAAGCATAACATAAAAATAATTTTATCAATCACCATACTTAAAACATATATAATAGTACAACTTTCAATGTTGTTTTGACTTATTCGGTGTGATCCATATCTTCACGATAGCTGTGCACTCGTTCTATAAAGGTTATAATATGAACAGGTTAAAATGTTTTTTTTAATCTATCAGACATTTTCGATTCAATTTTCGAGCTATCATTACTGTCATGAAAAACTCCAAGAAATTATGTCATGAAGTAATTCATCACGACATGATACGATGTGTTATTATTATTACCAAATATGCTGAGATATTGCTACTATCATAAAAATTATCCAAGACAAAACTGCCGTCATTAAACATTCCGAGCTTATACTGCCGTCATGAAACAATCCGAGCTTTTACTGCCGTCATTATACATTCCGAGCCTATACTGCCGTCATGAAACAATCCGAGCTAGTACTGCCGTCATGAATCAATCTGAGCTTATGCTGCCGTCATGAAAGAATCAAAGCTAATACTGCCGTCATGAAAGAATCAAAGCTAATACTGCAGTCATAAAACAATCCGAAATAATACTACTGTAACGAAACAATCCAAGATATAACTGCAGTCAAGAAACAATCTGGCATTTTACGTCCGGAGACAATACTGCGGTCATGAAACAGTTCGAGATAATACAGCCGTTATTAAACAATCTGAGATATGACTGCGTCAAAAACAATACGAGATACTACTTCCGTCCAGAAACAATCCGAGCATGAAAGAATACGAGCTTTTACTGCTGTCATGAAGCATTCGAGAGTTTATTGCCGTCATGAAACAATCCGAGCTAATACTGCCATCATAAAGAATCCGAAATAATACTGACGTTTTGAAACAATCAGAGATAGTATTGCGTCATAAAACAATCTGAGATATTATTTCGTCAAGAAACAATACGAGATAATATTGTACTCCCGTCAGGAAACAATCCGAGCTTGTACTGACGTCATGAATCATTCGAGCTTTCATTACCGTCATTAAATAATTCGAGCTTTTATTGCCGTCATTAAACATCCGATCTATTACTGCCGTCATGAAATAATCCAAGCTTTTAATACCTTCATGAAATAATCCGAGCTTTTACTGCCGTTATGAAATAATCCAATTTTTTATGCCGTCTTGAAACAATCCAAGCTTTAACTACTGTTATGAGACATCCGAGCTTTTTCCCCGATAAAATTACCCAGCTTTTTGTTTTCCTTTTAAAAAAAAAAACCCGAGCTTTTACTCCGGGCATGAAAAAAGAAAGCTTTTGGGCCCGTCATAAAATTAACCCAAGTTATTTGCTGTGTTTAAAACATTCGAGTTTTTTTTCCGAAAATAAAAACCCAAAAGCTTTAAGTGCGTTTTAAAATATCGAGTAATAGTCCCGTCAAAAAATGATGGCGATGTATCTCCCGAAAAATAATTGAGATGCACTCCCCATCTGAATAATCAGAAAAATATGGAGAATGAAAAACGAGATATTATAGCCGTCAAGAAACAATCCGAGATAATACTGCGACATGAAACATACCGAGATATGAAATAATCCGATATATAAATGCTGTTAGGAAACAATCCTAGATATTTCTTGCGTCATGAAATAACCTGAGATAATACTGCTGTCATGAAACAATCCGAGATATTACTGCCGTCATGAAATAATCCGAGATATTATTGCAGTCATTAAAGAAACCAAAGTATTAATGCCGTCTAGAAACAATCCGAGATAATTCTGCCGCTACGGCACAATTCGAGATAGTACTGTCGTCATGAAAAAATCCGAGATATAGCTGCCGTCATGAAATATTCCGAGATATTACAGCCGTCATGAAACCATCCGAGATATAACTGCTGTCATGGAATAATCTGAGGTATTTCTGCAGACATGAAATAATCAGAGATATAATTACCATTCAAGAAACAATCCGAAATAATACTACCGCTATGAAACCCATCTGAAATGATACTGCATCAATAATACGGTATCTCGGATTTTTCATGAGTTGGTTCCTTGTGTCATTGACTTTTAAGACGCAAAATTTAACCTTTTTAGTTTATTTCTAAATTGCTCGTCGTCATGCTCTAACACAGTAGCCCTTTAGTCAAATTCTTTAAGCATACTATATTTAACTTGAACTTGACTCATAAATGACCTTAATCTTCAAGAACGAACGATGGGATTTAGCTTTTTATGCCCCCACAGAGTGGAAGCATATAGCGTTGCACTTGTCCGTCCGAGTGTCCGTCCGTCCGTCCGTACGTCTGTCCGTCCGTCTGTCCGTACGTCCCGAAATCTTGTGACTGCAACTCCTCTTAAACATGATGGCAGATTTTGCTCAAACTTCCAGGGATGAACAACCTTAATGTGTAGATGGTAGTAAAGGAAGAAATTTTTGATGCGACCAAATTTAATAGAATTATGGCCCTTTGTTGATTTTTTCTCTATATACTATGTAGAAATTTTGTGAACGCAACTCCTCTTAAACCGGATGGCAGATTTTGCTTAAACTTCCAGGGATGAACAACCTTAATGTGTAGATGGTAGTAAAGGAAGGAATTTTTGCTGCGACCAAATTTAACAGAATTATGGCCCTTTGTTGATTTTTTCACTTTATACTATGTAGAAATTTTGTGAACGCAACTCCTCTTAAACCGGATGGCAGATTTTGCTTAAACTTCCAGGGATGAACAACCTTAATTAATGTGTAGATGGTAGTAAAGGAAGGAATTTTTGCTGCGACTAAATTTAACAGAATTATGGCCCTTTGTTGATTTTTAATTTTCAACTTGTGGCACAAAAAATAGTTGACCTAGAGTCATAAGAGTGACAGAACAGTGGCGTGTGGGGGTATCCATGTCCTGTGGACACATTTCTAGTTTTTTTATAATATTGTAGTGATTTTCCTTTTGTACTTTTTCCATACACTGCTTTACCTTTTTACATGAATGGGCTTTAAAAATTCGGCGCTATTCATATCTCATTCATAAGAAGTGCGTTGTATTGTTCTCTACAAATCGTATTCTTTGGATTTTATTCCATACATTTTGTCAAAAACAAAACCTGTATAACTAAATACACGTATAAACAAATTTGGCATTATTTACATTCTACCGTTCTTATTACTGCGGACGTAAAACACCGTATATATACAGTAACGCAGGAATGTGCAAATTACGCAGGAATTGTGCAAAAATAACGCAGCATTGTGCAATTTAGTGGCTTAAATGAGCACCACGATGAGTAAATAGACCAATATTTTTTATTGTACACCAAAATGGATGAAAAATGAGTAAGCGCATATGGTTGTTGAGACATAATACTTTAAACCTCATCAAAAATATTTCCAGAAAAATGATTATTTTTCAAGATTATTCGTGAAAATGACGAGCTGACTAGCGTATTGATGGCAAATTTTAGTTTCGTTGATATCGTTTAATACAATAACATACCTATTACTTTATGAGTTTTTGTAATAGGTGTACCTGAGACATTTCCCAATCTACTCGTGTCATATTACACTTAATTTTGCAAATAAAACGTACTTGTGACCATTTTTACGAGGTAACGCCGATTTCGTGAATGAAGCATTGAAGCAACGGAAGTTATCTCATTAAAAGTAGCTAATCCTATTTTACCAGCTTCCTGCTATTGTTTTGTACGACAATTGTAGTTTGATAAATGTCTTAGGTATACAGGATATGAAAAAATAGTGTTAAATGTGTTAAAAGTACATATTTATTTGACGAAACACAATATTCACTTTCAAAACGAATATCAGGTTAGTTGTCTTTCTCACGAATGATCTAAAAATCATATATCTGTTAAAAATGTAATGCTGGTTAAAGTATAATGTCGTAAGAGCCGTATTCTCTAATATATTTCTTTAAAATTGATTAAGAATAAAATATTTTGGTTCGTTTATTTACTGCGTTATTCGTTTTGGCAATAGCGTTGCTTAGATTCGGCGTTACTTTTACGTTAATTGCACATTCCTGCGTTACTGGATATGCAGGTGTTAAAGGGGTGTTAAATCTGGTGTGTACAACAAATCTGCATTACTTTCATATTAAGAAATTAGCAATGCCTCCCTTTACATTGGCGTATTGCTGTTGGTGTTGATTGTTTTGTTTTGGAAGGGGGGAGTGGGTGGTCTGCAGACGGAAAGGAGGGTGAGGATTGCTTTTGTTACTTACGATGTTGGTAATTTGAGTTCTTACTTCAGGTAAATCATATTGAGTTTTTATTTTAGATAAGTCATATATCAACAACGACTGCAATAAAACAAAATGTTTTTACAACTTGGTGGAATTATATTGAACAGGTGAGCACATTTCGCTTTCATATTATTATTATTATTATTATCATCTTTGTATTTTTTCAATCCTTTTTTAAATGAAGAAAGAGTATTATATACGGTAAGTAATATCCTCTCTGTGAACATTTAATTTGATATTTATTTCATACTTAATAATATAATCCATATATATGTATATACTTAAAAATGTTTAACGCTATATGTACGTCCTGACAAGGAAATAATTTCAAACGAGCGAATTTCCCTAGTGAGACATGTGATTATTGAAATAATTTGCAGAACTGCTCGCTGTATTTAAGGGACCCCATCGAGGGTTTTAGACATGACTGGACTGGAATATTTTTTCGGATTATTGTTCCATATGATGTAGGTCTCCATTGTGTTCAGAACAAATATAATAACTGTGAATGTAGACTAAATACTGAAGAAAAAAAAACGGTTTTCTCTAAAATCAGGCAAAGAATAGCACAAAAACAGAGCTTACCTCTGAGGTTCTTTCTTAATATTTTTTTTTCTGTTTAAGTGCCCAATTTGATCTATGTAAGAAATTCAAGTTTTATATCCCTCAGTGGAGTTTTCTTAATTGTAAAATAAATTTTGGAAATTTTGAAAATCTCAACCACTGGATTTATCTCTGCGAAAGCGTGGTGTATTTAGACTAAAAAACATTTACGCTTTTCAAGTATCAGTAATTTCATTGCATCACGATTTTCAGGTGTCAAATACTTTCAGTGTTTCACGATTTTCCGATTTCCAGTAATTCAAGTCCTGCACAATTTTAAGTACCAGTTATTTCAGTGCGTTACACTTTCAGGTGTCCAGTTATATACGTGCATCACAATTTTCAGGATTCAAGTAATTTCAAAATTTACTTTTTAAGGGGGTTTCCAGTATATCCAGTGCATCACAGTTTTCAGGTTTTACAAACTTTGAGTTCTTCAATATTTTCAGATTTAAGTAATTTCAATGATGCCAAATGTCGATGTTTCTAGTAATTACTGTGCCTCCAAATTTTCAGGGTTTCCAGTATATTCAGTGCTAAAATGACCGCCTCCGTGGTCGAGGGGTTAGAGTCGATGACTTCTAATCCAGTTACCTCTCTGGCTTGGGTTCGATCCCCGGGAGATGCGTTGGTAGCTTAGCGCGGAGGAAGGTAGTTTAGTACTGGTGTAACTCTCCAGGAACGATGGTTAGGAAACTACCCGCCTATATGACTGAAATACTGTTGGAAAAAGGCGTAAAATGAAACAAACAAACAAAAACAGTGCTTAAATATTTCAGGTTCCGGTACTTCCAGTGCTTTTCAATCATGATTTTTCATTTTCTAGAAGTAAAAGTGTTTTACAATTTACAGGTTTCCAGTACATTCTATGTTTCTCAATTTACTTTGAGTGCGATATTTAGATAGCTTAGATATTTTACAGGAAATATATTTTAGAAGACGTCTACCAAGTTTTAGCCCTGGTGTCAAACTTGCCACGCCTTTGGGTCACGATTTTCCTTACTTGGGCTTGAATTTATTAGCAACCAGTGATTAACAATCGTCATTTTAAAGTCATCAGTGGCTTTGCTAGCAAACATTGTTTTCAATAGCAACTGGTGACTTCCATAGCAAACCAGTTATTTCTGTAGCAGCAATTGGATTTTCAAATAAATTATTGACTTCCTAATACATCATTTACTTTCCATAGCAACCAGTGGCTTTCATAGAAACCGTTGTATTTCCAGAGAAACCAGTGATTTCTAAGAAAAATGATTTTTTTATCAACCAGTCACTTCAATAGACAACTAATAATTTTTCTTAGCAATAACAATATGTAAACATTTTTAAATTTGCACGATTTTAGATGCAGATATGACCTTTGTGATATCAGTATAATATTTAGACTTTGTATCGGCTTTTCATTTACAATTTTCAGTGTTAATTGTTTCTTGTCATCAAGAGCCTTTACTATAAGGAGAGTGTTGTACAAGCCATCATGACTCTCTTGTTTAGCAAATGTGTTTTTCATGTCTCATTATTTTTTATAAAAAGATAATTTGTCGGATCAACATATTCGATAAACACTTATAAAGATCATCAAACACCGAAATTTAAATGATAAAGTTACCGTATTATTAAATTTCTGTTTCAGATACTTGTTCGTCGAAGTTCTCAAGCTGTGAATATTCAGCAAACAATTGCCGAATTCAAAACTTGCCCCCTTGATCTGGAGGAAGAGAGAAGGATACAGGAAGAAATAAAGAAGTGGAAGGACTGTGAAGCCGATGTTGATCGACTGAAGCAGGAAATGACAGACGTGAAAGAAAATGTAACCGAAGTGAACAAATACCTTGAAAGCATAAAGGAAAATGTAACTGATGTGAAGAAAGACCTTAAAGACGTAAAAGAAAATGATACTGCAGTGAAGAGAGATCTTGAAGACATAAAGAAAAATGTAATTGAAGTGAAGAAAGGCCTTATAAAGATCAAAAGACGGAAAGGGACAGGTTTGTTATTTTTGAAGCTTAAATGTTTTATTGTTTAATGAATTGGAGGTCATTGGGATATCTTTTGAAAGCTGATAGAGTACAAGCAAATGCTGTGAAACGTTTATGCATTTCATGTCAATAGCTATAATGTTTTAAAGGCATTCTATTAATAAATACATTTTAAGCGTTTTAATCCTGACATTTCCAATCCGTGATAACTATTAATTCGTTTTGTGAGATCTTTTTTATAAACTTGACAAATCACCGTTTGTCTGTTTGACATGCTGGATAATTTTCCTCACACAATCGCGGGAAATATCACCAATGATACTGTGTTTAAGAAAAACAAAAATTATCTATTTGGAAGACTTGGTAAATATTTGGAATGCCATAATTTTTATAATCAATTCCTCTCATCTTGTAATATAGCAAATCTAATATCTTGCCGTTAATATATAGAGGATATTTGTTTGTTTTGAACGTAAGATTGAAATATAATTCACTGAGTTAACACCAGATGCAATATTTTCACTCGTGGCTACGCCACTCGTGATAATATAATAGCTGGTGTTCACGTATGAAATATATTTCAATCTTACACGCAAACACAAACAAAATTTCTTTTTTTTCATGCTTAATAAGTGATTTTCAGCATTTTTACTGATTTACAAGAAAAATTTATGTTCATGATTTCTTCTTGTGCATATTGTTATGAGTATGAAGTAATAATCAATAACATTGACCTAAGTTAAAGTTCTAAAATTTGTTGAAATTGGATATAATTAGCTTTAATTTGTTATTAATGTTTGTATTGTATTCTTTCTTTGGCATAACAACCCGTTAAACAATACCACCAGGTGCATATAACTTGATGTGATCTCTTACTTTGGCATAACAACCCGTTAAACAATACCACCAGGTACATATAACTTGATGTGATCTCAACCTTAAGACCTTGCCCTTAATGATAAAAGTATTGTATTGAATTTTGCTCAAATTGGTCCAAATTTTGATATTAACGGGTGGATTGACTGATACGTATCTAAAACAGTTCTGATGAGCCTTAAGCTTAAAATATCTTGACGTGTTAGGTCAAAATATTTAATTTTGCTCAAAATGGCTAAAAGTTGTTGTCAACGTCTTGGGTATATCACTTTTAAGCAAATATCTCCACGCAGGTTAAATGGCACTTTATCTTGGCGTTCACATAGCCTTGACTGGTATGATTTGTTTTACTATGTCCGAAATTGAGCATAACCTTTTTATCTATGGAGTTCTTAATACTTGGACAAACCATAAAATTGTCGTGTGAAGCAATTCAGGGCTGACAATGATCTTAAAATGACCTTGAGAGGTTAGACCAAATCATTCAATTTTGCTAAAATTTGCATACTTTGTAATTAATAGACTGATTTGATTTATATTGGAATAAATATCGTCTACGATAAAATCGTCAAGTGTTTTAATCTTAGTATGAGATTGACCTTAAAAGTCAAATTATTGAAATTTCATACATTTGGCCGAATATATATTAAGAAAAAATAATTTTGAAAATAGAGTAATGATATTGACTTATTTCAACATGTTATTGTATTTGTTTTGTATTTCATAACAGAGAAAAGTAATGAAATACAAAAAGTGGAGAGAAACTATCAAAATCTCAAGAGGGGTAAGTTTTTTATTGTTCAACCATCATATTAAGCCAAACAAGCCTCCTGGTAAACAGTCTGGTCGTCAATACAGATCACCTTCCTCAGAGTGTTGGAGATGTTTACGTCCTTCTTGCAACAATATTGTCAAGTTATAATATTGGTGTCGAATTACGTGGCAAGGGCGACTGCTGTCCAAATAATTTGCAAGATAACTATCACTAGTTTCCAATACGACTGTGACTCATTCTATTTAAATGACCTACATGGTTTTTCAACTCTAGCAACTTTGTTAATGGTGTAACCTGCACCAAATATGGTCATGGTGATTCAAAGCTTAACTACCGTATAAGTGGTTTTTTCTGTGGGCTCCAAATTCTGCGGTTTTTCCAAATTTTGGCATGTTTTTATTTCTACGGACTTTATTTCTGCGGCACATTCTTTGGACAAAACGTGATTTAAATTCTGCGGCTCATCTTATCAAAGTCTAAGTCACATTACTCTACCTAATTTATTTGCATGTACACATTTGCATTAAAATTTTGTTCATCATCGTTACCGCAAAATTATATAGCAATTGCAAACAATTATATTGTTTGCTTGCAAAAACAAATACAATGCGCAACAATAGACAGTATCTTTTGATCAGCGTGAAATGACGTGTGAAAAATATACCCCGGTAGTATCTTTAACTTAATAAAAATTGATAGAAGTTAATCGTAAATCAGACAACAATTAATGTAAACGACGATTATTTAGCAGTATAAGGGTTAAAATGGTTTTAAATATTTAGTGGTAAACAAACCTTTTAGCGTACAGGCAAACACTATGAAGTTTAAATATCTTTATTCATAATTAACGGCATAATTAACAAAATTACATCCTTACAAGCACATATAACATGCTTAGCCGAAAGCAATTTTAAATAACTCGATGACCCGCTTACCATTATAATCCGTTAGTCGTTATTACTTTAGAGGAAACAGGTCATCATGTTGGACATATATCGTTGAAAAAAACAAACAAACATGGAGAAATATTCTGCGGTTTTTATTTCTGCGGTGCTGAAATTGACCGCAGAAAACGCAGAAATAAAGTCACCGCAGAAAATACCACTTATACGGTATCTAAATTTGTTTGTACTTTTATTGGCCGATGATTCTGTTAAACTTGCTGAATCAGCACCTGATTTACAAATATCTTTGCACTTACGAGCACGTGTATGAGCAATATTTTGATATTTGGAAACTTTAACATTTCAAAAACAAATATTGTTATTTTATCTAAAGGTAGACCAAGACAATTTACATTTACTTTTAAAGGAGAAGACATTAAAGTTACAAACGATTAAAATATTTTGGTGATTTATTTAGTAGAAGTGGTTCTTTTTTAAATGCAAAGCGTGCTATAGCACAATAAGCTACATGAGCAATGTATTCCCTCATAAAGAAAGGAAACGATTAATTTTGTTAATGCCAATAGATATGCAAATAGGGCTCATAAAACTGTTAAGCCAATTTTGTTATATGTCATATTGATGCGAAATATGGGGATACGGAAATTTAGACATGATTGAAAGAGAACAATTAAATATTTTAAAACTTGTTTTAAATGTTAAAACAAGCACATCTGGTAGCATTTTATATCTAAAATTGGAGTTCAACCATTGATTATTGATATTAAAACAGGAATGATTTCTTTTTGGTCAAATTGATTAACTCAAAATCTAAACAATTGTGAACTTCATTGTATTATTATTACTAGTCAATTAATTATTGAAACACTGCACAAAAGATAAAATATTTATGGTTAACAAATATCAAAAACGTTATAATTTTATGTGGTTTAAGTGGTATTTGGATACACCATGAATTTCCAAACATCAAATGGATAACAACTACTGTACAACAGAAACTGACTGATCTTTTCTTGAATGATTGGTACTCAAAAATTGATAAGTTGTGAAGACAAAGAGCCTTACACAATAGGAAGGCTAGTTCTACAAATGTATTATGGCTGCTTATGCCGCAAAATTTGTTGAGAGTCTTTGTGGTCGGCCAAAGCCCCAATTTATTAAGAAATTGAAAAATGTGATTCAAAAATATTTTTAATGATATTGAAGGTATGTTTATTAACAATAATGTATATACCCGATTTCACTGCGATAAAAATATATAAAATATATGAAAAAGAATATCAACAAAACAGCAACAAAAAAAATCAATTGTGGTGTTCCCTCAGACGCAATAATTGCCATCAAATAACATGAACATTGTAGACTTGATTTGATTGAGTCTATTCATGAGGTAAAAATAGAAAAAAGGGCAACATCTCACGCGCCTCTTTACACTGGCTTAAACGGTATTCATTTTTCAACACTTAATGTTCTAGGATAAATGATCCCAAAGGACCGGAAATATGAATGAAAACTTCAAACATACGCTCGTACGATAAAATCTAATAATTGTAAGAGTTTGATTTTATTTAACAAGTTTGAAATAATTTGTATATAATTGCCTGAAATAAAGTTAATTGAAAGGTCCTTATAAAATAATACCGAAAATAAATAATTTGCTTTAAAAGCCGTTATTGCAGCTCGATGATGTAAATTATAAAAATTGTCAGTTCATCAAAAAAGCTAGCAAGAAAACATTAACAGTTTAGGTGAAAGGGCCATTTTCCACGTCAGATTTAAAACATTTCTATGGCAGGGTAGACCCCTAATGAACTAACCCCTGAACAGTACATTTGTATTTATATATTGTGTCATCAAGCGGGATGCTACGGTATTTATAGCTTCTGTAACCGAATGGGATATAACGGTATTTTACTGCCTATGTCAGTAATTGGGATATAAGCATACGTCTATAGTCTGTGTGCAAGCAGAGACTAGAATTCGTTAGCATGTTAATTATGCTATCGTTTTTTTCCCTACAATATATTATATGCTTTATCTTATTCTTAAAGAAATCTGTTTAACTTCCAAATGTAAAATATTTTATCTGTGTTCAACTATTGTACTGCATACTAAAGGCATGTTCTTATTACTACTAAATTGCTGCGTTTTGTTTATTTATTCAAGGGCTATAAGTACGTAGTGGGGTGATCTTATGGATTTGTAACCTGAAACTAGAATTTATGACATATACAAAGTACACCTTTTTGACTTTATACAACCTACTATCATGAAACTATATCGTGTGTTAAATAATAAGATTTTACTACGTTGTAATTCTAGATTCACTGTATATAAATTGATAACAACAACAGTAATATTTATTATGAAACATGTATAAATATGTAATAGTATGATATAACTATGATTAAGATGGGCGCGAGTGATTTCGTTGACTTCGAGTATGAGCTGTACTGCAGCCTGATGGACATGATATGTCATTGTAATTTATAATCGCTACATCGATGATGTGTCTTGCATTGCCCAAAATGCTAAATATCTATATTACATTTGCGTTTATTTCATTTGTTCTAAGTTGCACTTAAGTTTTCTTGAAATTAGGAATTAAATGTTACTCTTCTCCTTCATTTATTTGTAAGATACGATTAAAAACAAGATGGCCAATTAGGAATTTGTTGGAATATTTTGCTGTGTTGTTAGTTTGAGCTTTGATTTATATTTAATTGCATGACGATCACGTGCACATTTAAACGTCTTTTTATAACTGGAAATCATGGAATAAGTCCGTTTTCTCCCCGCAATTGGTGACAAAAAGACCTAAAAAATCTCAATTTTGGAGCTCTTAAATTGTTACTTAATTAAAATAGTGAGAAATAAGAATCCCTAAAGAAAGCCCAACACGGCAGAATTGAAAATGTTGCAGGCTCGGTTTGATTGAGCGTATTCATGGACGGTACTGTGAAGTGCAAACTACCGTACAAACTCCCCTTAGCACCGGCTTAAGCTGAATTCAACATTTAACATGAACTGGTAAAATTTAGAATTTTGGAACATCCGCTGATGTACACCTTAATGGTAACTGTTATTCTAAGACACACTAAAGTGGTAACATATATTTAACAAACTTGAATGGTTACGGTTTTCATACAACACACTTTAGTGGTTGTTTTCACATAACACTTTTTAGTGATAATTGTTTTCATACAGCACACTTAAGTGCTTACTTTTTTCATACAGCACACTTTAGAGGTTACTGTTTTCATACAGCACACTTTAGTGGTTATTGTTTTCAGACTGCACACTTTAGTGGTTACTGTTTTCATACAACATATTTTAATGGTAACTGATTTCACACAGCAAACTTCAGTGGATATTGTCTTCATACAGCACGCTTTAGTGGTTATTATTTCATACAGCTCACTTACGTGGTACTTTACTCTTTAGTGGTTAATGTTTTTATACAGCACACTTTGGTTGTTGCTTTTTCATACATTGCACTTTTGTAATAAGTGTTTTCATTCGACACACTTAAGTGGTTACTGTTTTCATACAGCACTCTCGGTGTGGTTACTGTTTTCATACTACACACTTGAGTGTGGTAACTGTTGCTATACAACACACTTCAGTGTTCTCTGTTTTCATACTGCATACTTTTGTGGTAACTGTTTTCAAACTACACAATTGAGTGGTTATTTTTTAATACAGCACTCTTGAGTTGTTATTGTTTAATACAGCACACTTGATATATTACTTTTTTTCATAAAACACACTTAAGTGGTTACTGTTTCATACTCACATTTTGATGGTTATTGTTTTTACATACAACACACTTGAGTGGTTAGTGTTTTCATACATCACATTTCAGTGGATACTGTTCTGTTTTCAAACAATACACTTAAATGGTTACTGTTTCAATACAACACACTTTAAGGGATACTGTTTTCATATTACATTCTTGAGTGTTTTCTGTTTTTACATACAACATACTTTAGTTGTAACTGTTTTCATACAGCACACTTTAGTGAATATTGTTTTCATTCAGCACAATTTAGTGGGTACTGTTTTCATACAGCATACTTTAGTATTTACTGGTTTCGTACTACATTTTACTGTTTATAAATACAACACACTGGAAGGTTACTTTTTTCATACAGCACACCTTATTGGTAATTGTTTCCATACAGCACACTTTAGCGGTTACTGTTTTCATTCAACACACTTTAATGGTTATTGGTTTCATAAGGCACACTTTAGTGGTTACTGTGTTACAGCACAATTTATAGGTTTATGTTTTTATATAGCACCCTTTTAGTGGTCACTGTTTTCATACTGCCCACATGAGTGTGGTTACTGTTTTCATACAACACTTTTTGTGGTAACTGTTTTCATGAAACATATTTTAGTATTAATTGTTTTCATACTACCCACTAAAGTGGTTAATTTTGTCATACAGCATACTTAAGTGGTCACTGTTTTCATAAAACCCCTTGAGTGGTAACTGTTTCAGACTTGAGAAAATACTGCTTTCATATAACACACTTTATTGGTTTCTGTTTTTATACAATACATTTGAGTGGTTATTATTATCATACAGCACTATTTAGTGGTATCTGTTTTCATACTGCACTCTTTAGTTAAAGATATTTTCCTACAGCATACATTAGTGGTTACTGTTTCCATACAGTATATTTTAGTGGTTACTGTTTCCATACCACACACTTGACTGGTTATTGTTTTATACTTCAAACTTGAGTGAAAACTGTTTATATATGCATGTGACACCATTTAGCGGTTACTCTTTAGCACAGCACACATGCGTTGTAACTGTTTTCCTACCGTTTTCATTTGCGTGGTTACTAACCACTGTTTTCATACAACAAACGTTAGTTTTCACTGTTTTCATACACCACATTTTAGGGGTTATTATTTTCATACAACACACTAAGCTTGCTTTTCATACAGCAGATTTTAGTGGTAATTGTTTTCAACCAACACATTGAAGAAGGTTTTCATTTATACAGCACACTTTAGTGGATATTGTTTTCATACAGTGTACTTTGGAGGTTATTGTTATCATGCAATACACTTAAGCGGTTACTCTTTTCATACAACACCCTTTAGTGGTTAATGATTTAACACTTTACATTTGACTGGTTATTTTTTTTTAAATATAACACACTTTAGTGATTACTATTTTCATACAGCACACTTGAGTGGTCGCTGTCTTCATACTTCATACATGAGTATGGCTACTGGTTTCATACAGCACACTTGAGTTTTTATTGTTATCATAAAAACACTTTAGTGCTAACTGTTTTCATTCCGCGCACTTGAATGGTTAATGATTTCACACAGCACATTTGAGTGGTTAGTGTTAACGAAACCACACACTGGAGTGGTAACGGTTTTCAGAGTAATTACTCTTTTCATTCAACATAGTTGAGTGGTTAATGTTTACATACAACACACTAAAGTGGTAACTGTTTTCATAAAGAACACTTTAGTGGTTATTGTTTCCATACAGCACACTTAAGTGGGAACGTTTTTCATACAGCACACTTTAGTGGTTATTGTTTCCATACTGTACACTTTAGTGGTTACTGTTTTCACACAGGACAGATAAGTGGTAATTGTTTCCATACAACACACTTTAGTGGTTACTATTTTCATACAGCACAGTTAAGTGGTTACTGTTTTCATACAACATAATTAAGTTGTTACTGATTACATAGAAAATATAAGTTAGTACTGTTTTCATATAAGACACTTTAGAGGTTACTGTTTTATACTACGTGTTTGAATGGTTAATGTCTTCATACAACACACTTGAGAAGTTACTGTTTTTATACATAATACTTCAGTAGTAAATGTTTTCTTACTCAACACTTTAGTTGTTAATGTTTTCATACAGCACACTTGCGTTGTTACTGTTTTCATACAATACACTTAAGTGGTTAATATTTTCATAGAGCACACTTGAGTGGTAACCATTTTTCATACAGCACACTTTAGTGGTTATTTTTTCATACAACACACTTAAGTAATTACTGTTTTTACAACACAATATAGTGGATAAACTTTTCATTCTTCACACCTTACTGGTTTCTGTTTACACACTACCTACTTGAGTGGTTACTCATTTCATACAACAAACTTTAGTGATTACTCTTTTTTGATACTTTGATATAACACACTTGTCATTCAACTTGGTCAAGATGCTTGTCCAGGTAATTGCTCAGATAACTTTGAACATGGGTCATCTCGAATGAAAAACTAGGTCACAGGAGCTAAACAAAGAAAAATCTTGTAAACACTCTAGTGTCTAATGTTTTGATCCAAATATCATTGACATTGGTCTGAACGTTTGGTTTTATGATATTTAACTCAAGTTCGAATATGGGTCACATGGGAACAAAAAAAATAGGTCACACGGCCGAAATATGGAAAAACCTTGATAACACTTTAGTAGTCACTTATTTGACTCAATTGTAATCACAATTGGTCAGGATGCTTGTCTAGGTAATTGGTCCGATAACTCTGAACATGGGTCATCTCTAATGAAAAACTAGGTCACAGGAGCTAAGAATGGAAAATCTTGTTAATACTCTAGTGGCTACTGTTTTGATCCAAATATCCTGGAAATTGGTCTGTTTGTTTGCTTTGTTATCTAGGTCAGGTTCAAATATGTGTCACCTGGGGTCAAAAACTATTTCACACTGCTCAAATATGTATAATCCATGTTAACACTCTTGTGGTTACATTTTTGACTCACCTATGAAACTTGGTCAAAATGCTTGCCTAGGTAATTGTTCGGATGAGTTCGATGGGTCAGGTGAGCGATCTAGGGCCATCTTAGCCCTCTTGTTTTTCATGACATACATAGTTGGATGGTAAGGGCTTTTTTAAGGCCATTGTCCCTTTCAAATGAATGATTACATTTGGCGAAAAAAACTTCATGTGGTGGCTATGTCTAGTTTTTATATCAGTACTAGTAATTAAATTCTGACACTTTCGTTTATCTCAGTACAAATATGAAAAAAGAACACATATGATAACCAAATTAATGGATATTTATCTATTAAGCACACACTTAATCCGGGTAACATTGTTATAAAATTATTGAAGTGCTGTAAATTGTTACTCTTTTCACATTGGTAATTATTACATAAATTATTTTGAAAATACATTAAAAGTTTATCTACGATATGTTTATTGTTATTTTATATTCCTGAGTTATTAACAGTTTACATTTTACTATTCAGAGCTCAAAGCTGGTTTGATTGAATTCTACAAAACGAGACACAGTAAAATTTTCCTGTCGCCCCTTTTCGAAGAAAATGACACGCCTTTGGTTTCTTTCTACATAAGACCTGAATTGAACTTCATAATCCCAACACACACGAGAAATGATGAAACAACACCAGTTAAATCGTTATCCGCCATGTTTAAATCCGGAAATCAATCTTACCGAGAAATACATGTTATTGCTGATGCTGGTCTCGGAAAAACTGCATTTTCAAACTATCTGGCGATCACGTGGTGTCAAGCTAATTTTCCAGATAAAGACATGACTCGAAATGAAGATATAGACTGTATGAGGGGATTTGATTTCGTATTTCTGGTCTTACTGCGAGATTCGAACGATTTATGTTCTATAGATGATCTCATATTTAAAAAGATTGTTTTAAATTTGGGTCTGCAAAAAAAACCCTCTGAGGAATTTCTTCTTACAATTTTGAAAAATGAGAAATGCCTCATTATACTTGATGGACTGGATGAATGGACCCACCCCGAAAAAGAATGTCACAGATCGCCGCGATCAATCCCCCATAGGAATGACCGAGAAAGTTGTACAATAGTGACCACTATGCGACCATGGAAATTAGGAGTTTTGAATCTCAATTCGTGCCAGATAGGAAAAAAGGTGGAACTTTCAAAACTAAGTTACAAATCAGCAGTTACACTAACAATAAGGATATTACAAAGATTGAAATCTCAGTCGAATAAGGATGCATTACGACGTGATGTAACAGCGTTCATATTAGGAATGAAAGGCAGACAAAGCGATGAACTTACTTCTGTGCCTCTACTTTTGATATATGCAATTTGTTTATGGTGTGACGGTGTTCAAATAGGAAATTCAAAATGTGAACTCTATGTAAATATAGTTGAACTGCTTTTGTCAAGAACGATTCAGAAGCATGGAGATCTTCAAGAATTGTGTGACCTTTCTGATACTGACATCCCAGAATGCTTTGCTGAATATGAAAACTGCACTAAATACTACCCGTTCCTGGTGCATATAGGAAACTTAGCTTATTATACATTATTTAATGAAACAAGAGAAAACACGCTAGTATTTGATGGATCAGTTGCTAAAAGATATCTCACACCAGAAGAGATGAAATTCGCCTTTCACTCAGGAATATTGTCAGAAAGTACATCTAAAACATTAACAAAAAAGTTTAGTAAAGTATCGTTTTCCCACAAAACAGTGCAGGAATACTTTGCCGCAATATTTATAAGTTCTGAAAATGAGGCTCAGAAAATTGTTCTAGGAAGATGTAGAACTGTTCAAGACATTCTGGACATGTCAAAAATTTGTGAATTTATAAGTAAAATGAATGCTGACCTGATGTGTGTAATATCAAATGATTTGATGTCTGTGATAAATGAAGACGAGGAAACACGCGCCTATAGAACTAGGACAGGTTCCGGGGACAGGTACATGAACAATAGTCCATTGTCTAACATACAGAACATGTTCATTTCGTGTTTACAAGAAATGCCTGATAGCAAAAATATTCAATTATTTTTACAAGATTTCTTCATTGACCCGAACACCGAGCACAGTGAGCAGTTGCAACATTTGTTAAAACAAAATAAAACCAACATAAAATCACTTTATATAAACGCCGGCGGTACTTCTAGCAGTTTACGTGGAATTCAAGATTTATTCCTTCTCACAGATCTCAGTCATGTACAGAAACTTTGCTACATTGGTGACAGGTGGAAGGAGACTGAGTTAAATCGGATATTGTTCCCCAATTTACAGGCCGTAACTTTGGTGTCTTGTCAATGGACAAATGATGAAGAAAATCTGAGTAAAAACTTGGCGCGATATCATAACTTACAACATTTTTATATTGCCAAATTCACGTTATCTCACAAAATACTGGAAACAATTTTCAATTTTATCTCCGGTCAAAAATCAATAAAAGAGGTAACCTTGCAGTACTTACACTGTAAAGATCATCATGGCGGCCATGATTGTAAGAGATTGAATTTGGACTTGTCTAAACATTCATCTCTATCAAAATTAGACTTGCGGGTGTTACCTTGGAGGCTACAATTAAATACAACAACACCGTCATTAGTTAAATTTGCGGGAATCAATCTTGATGAAAGTTCATTGTTACTGTCACGTGACATGTTGAATATTGAACTTGTGGAGTTGGTGGGGATAGAAATGGCTTCAGGAAGTTTACAGAACTTTATTACCGTACTTGAAAATCTGCCAAAGTCAGTTACAGTAAAGATGAAAGATATTAAACCCGAAACAGAATATGAATGTGTTAGAGAAAATATTCGGAGAACACAAACTTTTCATGTGATACCCCGCGACTGGTGGAAGCCATTTGAGTTCAAAACAATAAAAGCAATCAAAGAATAGACAAGAAAAAAAACATAGTTAAATAACTGAAGAAGTAACTTTTATTATAATTTTTTATTGAGAATTTTAAATTATCAAAACAGTTTAAATATAGACACTTAAAACAAACTCATCAAACTACACTATCAAATTAGTCTTCTGATATCCAGATATCAGTTCGTGCCTTAATAATAATTCAATTAAGCTTGATAATGGAAGATCGGTGGTTCTTCACGAATTTCCGTACGTACATGAACCTAAATAATTTAATTCAGTTTGCAGAATGTATGTTTATATGCTCCGGAAATTCGCTCATGCCAAAATCTTTAAATAACGCAAGATTTCCAGCTTTTTTATATCTCAATTAGGCAAAACATAACATAGAATGCTACTGTTGCTTGGAAATTATGTAAAATAGTGTTAAAATAAAATGTTTGTTGTATTTTTTGAAACAAAATGTTATCTTTTGACCCACTTATTTCTCATTTCTTCTTTTCTTTCCAGAAAATGAGCTACAGTGAAACTACAGTGACAATGATGACATTATGCAAATCTACTAGAACTCAATATAAGACGACATTACGCTTCTACGAGAATTCAAATATAAAGACGTAACACCTGGTTCCTAGCATTACAAGATCATACACGGAAGAAAAACATTCTAAAATGTTGCGTGAAATCTTCTAATTCCTGGCTTAACCAGAATCAGACTAACAAATGTTTGAATAGGTAATACCATATACATGTACCTTTTTTCTACAATAGGGATTTACGTGTAAAAAGAAATAAACACCAAGAACCAAGACAGCTGTCAAAAGTTCCTTCAAAATATTTTTTTGTGAATTACAGTCATACCGTAAAAACATAGATCAAACTTCAGTGTTAAAACAGCTATTTATTTGAAAATATGGTTTAAATATAATTTATTTTTATCACATCTAGGATATAAAGTATAGCGGGACAAGTAACTACCGACTGGATTAACAGTCTTACCAGATTTTTTTACCTGACAACCGGTCTATTGATAGAGTTTAAATTATATTTTTATACTGTAAATTTTAAAACAATACAATGAAAAAATCATAAAAAGATCATTTAGTTACTAAAGGACGACACAATTCCTTCTGGTTTAAATATTTCTCTTATGTACACTAATTACTACGGACCAAATAGAAGGTTAACCGGCTATAAAAAAGACAATACGGCGGCTTTTGGTCAAAAAGAAAACTTAGCACTATTCTACTGTTGCTTGTCCCATTATATTTTGTCCTAGATCCAATGAAAACAGACGTTACATCTGTACTGTAATATAAAAGTTATTTTCAGATATTTAATTAGATATGCATGTATAGATTTTATCTGCAGTTTAAGAGTAAAATGATAGAACAAGCATAAGAATTGTTATACAAAAACTAATTGATCATTAAGATGAATATTAATTGTAACGAAACAAATACTTATAGTCTTATACTGGTATTTTATTAAGACCATAGATGTTTACCTTTGCAGAACGCCTATAATTTTTGAATGTCTGTATAATTATAGTTTGAATTTAATTTTAGTTGCTTTTTTAATTTTAGAAGGGTTACTTCATAATCAAAACATAACAAACATTTCCATGTTGTATTTTGATATTCGCGATAACTGTACAAATTTTCATTTAATGAGGTATTACATTCAAGAAAATACAAATCATTTATTATGCTTAGATTCGTTTGTCAATAAAAAGTTGGTGTGTATACATTAAAGGCCCATTAAGCACAATATGCTACACGTTTTATTTCTAAAACATTTTTCCTGTCACTTTTGGCCATATAGATTAAGTTTATTTTTTCTCCATTTGCTACTTGTTTAATCAAATTAGATTTAGAATATGTATTGAAATAAAAAAAAATATAGTGTATGCATATTGCTACCTTTCCAACACACCATTGCACATGCAGCTATACTTTCTTCAATTACTTTAAATCTTACCTAGACGAATTAAACATTATTGGGTACAGGTTTGTCTTTTATAAAGAATAAAAACATGAGGCATTGTGCGCCTTTATAATTCAAATTTGTACAGAAATAATCTCATTGTTTTGTAAATCCATGTTCTAGTCAGTCTTTTGTTTTGTTTCAGTTGACCAATTGATGTATATAGCTTTATATATATAATACTGGTTTTATTTTTGAGTAACTGTATATATTGTCTTATTTGTCAAATTACTATGTTTATATGCATACATTCATCCAGGTATATGAACCTGCATTATTTAAAGATACAAACACACAGTTATGTAACACAATAATAATATATTTAGAATGATGAAATTTTGACACGTTAATTTGACGTCGTATGTGACGTCATTTTATCATAAATGCTGTTCAATTCATAGACATTTTTGAATGAGTGTAGTTTTAATACTTACTTCATTGGTCAAATTGAATAAAAATTGTACTATGCAGCCTCTTGCGAGCATCATATTGTTTAATCCAACGAGTAACATAGATTTAGTACTGAATCCAAACAAAGTGATATTCTATTTCTCACATTATAACGGTTTACATATAGCATTTTATTCATTAGTTACGCGCGTATAGTAAAATGCTTACATTAGTGTGCTTTAAATTTGCTTTTTTTTGTATATAACGCAAATGACTACACATAAAAGTATTGTTACCACTATGGTACTATAGCGCTACATCGGCTTATTACATTGCTTTTTTGTACACATTTGTACCTTTGTTTATGTGATTAATCTTTTTATTATCCATGTACATGTTTGAGTTAATGCTCAATCTTGTATGATGTTGTTTTGAATGGTATTGAGTTGCAAATTGACTATTTTCTTAGCACAAATGGGCGAAATTTGTTGATTTTTTTTGCAACGGACGCGCCCTCAGGCGCAATTTCGACGTCTACTTACGTGGCCTTGTGTACTGTCAAGAAAGGTTCTGATGTCAAGTCACAAATCTAAAAGTTTTTGTGATGATAGCCTTTGTTATTTGTTATGCATCAGCCATTGGTGAAAGTAGCAGTGTTATTGCTAATATTTTTTTTCTTTCACATTTTACTTTTTTTGCCGGGACACATCTGATATTTAATTGAAGGTTTTTACATGAAACTTTTGTAGATTTATCTTATGCCATTTTCAAACAGGCATTTTATCATTGCCATTTGTTAATAGTTTATTTATTTTTTGTCTAAAAATAAGTATATGTCTATTTGATGTAAATGAAACTTCATAATATCCTGTTGAAATAACGATATAAAAACAACACTATAGCTAGACAAGAGGTGTCTTGTTTGTAAGGGTAAACTAATTGAAAACTTAATATGTTCATTATATAATGGTTTTGTTATACATTTGTTTGATGGGTAAATTTAAGTTTTTTTTGTTTGCAACAGTTACCAATGATAGTAAATGACAATTCTTATATTTATACCTTACTTACAAAATCAAAAAAAAATGTTAGAATTCAGATGTAACTGTAGTATTTAGGTATTATTTAAAGAAGGGAGTAAACTATCCAAATTTTGGTATTGTTGTTATAATGTATATAATGTCAGTACGGAGTTTATCAATTTATAAAATGTTAACAACATATTATATTCATGAATTAATGTAAATATTTATATCATTGTCCAAATTTATGAAAATAAAATTGTAAAATATCATCGAATTCTAGTTATCATTTGTATCTGTGTTAATATAAGGTAACCTTGATGAAGTCTACAGCTGTACACAGCCATTCCGTCCAGGAAGTAGATAAGCCATAAAATATAACTCTTATTTGAGCTATCAAGATGTAAGGGTGATCGCAATGAGCAGACGCCAAATGTCGAACCAATATTGTTAAGGTGGATTTATTATGAAGGTACAATATATGAACCAGAATTACAAAGACAAACCTCGTGATTAATGTTGTTTAGGAAATAGAAACAACCGTAATATAACAGTACCTTAAAATAAATCCCATAGCAAAACAGGCAATTTGATAAAGTACCTAGATATATGAACCAAACAATCAGCTGACAGCACAATAAATTACTTTGATGAAACATCAATTCAAACTTGCTGAATTACAAAAGTACTGGGTTTCGTAACGAAAACTGGCCGCATATTAATAGTCCTTAGTTAAATTTTCGGCTTAATGTAGGAAAAATACCACTATTCCCGACGGACACACCTAAACCAGCGAACACACGTCAGCCACTTAACATCCCACCATATTTGGTTCTACGGAATTGAGCCTTGCAACCCCCACCCCTTCCACAGAGACAGCAAAAAATGGCATGATATTATTAAAAATGGCAATCTATAGTTCGATTTACAGCTTAATGTCAGCGACACCAGATAATTTCCGGCAGACTCAAACAAACTCTTATCACCTAGCCATTTTTCCTTCGGAATTAAGCTTTGCCTCCCCATCGTGACCTTCCGGTAATGGCGTTATTTTATTTAATACCAGAGAGTATCGCAGTATAATTGGTTCTGCGGAAGGGAGTCTGGGTTTCATAGGAGCCTGTCGGAAATGGCGAGATATCAGCTGAAATGGTAATGTAACGATTCGTCACATTAACGATAACGATTCGCCACACCACTTAAATAACGATTCGCCACATGTTGAAAGTACAAACTTGTTCACACCTATATTAAACTGTCTATGAAACCTTCTTTCCATTTTATATTTCATTCGTAAATTACACAAATTAATGCTGAAAATTATTCTGAAAACGGCTGTTTATAAATAAAAAACATTAAAACAAACATATTTTATTACCAAAATTATATAACACATACTTAATTTCTAAAATTACAAAAACACATCGTAAATTAGTTAACATTTGTTTATAATATATAACTTGGAAAATAATACTAAATACAGCTTCAATAAATAAAAACACATGACAATGAGCATATTTTATTACCAAAATTACAAAACACATTGCAAATTAGTTAACATTTGTTTATAATTATATATAACCTGGAAAATTATACAAAACACAGCTTTTATTGAACAAAATAAACACATGAAAACGAACATATTTTACTACCAAAATTACAAAACTCATTGTTAACAAAAACTAAGTGACAAAGAACTAGTAGACTCGTCTTGTTTAAGCTCTGTATGCTGATGTATTTAAATCTTCTAAACTGAAATGACCATTCATAGTAGATTTTCGGCTTAACGTTGGCAAAATATCAATGTATGCCCGGCGGGTACCAACGGATACACGGTAGGATCTTCTAGCCATCCACCATGAAGGGTTTTATAAAATAACAGCTTTGTCTCAAAGAAGGCAAGCGGAAATTGTGAAATATGAGCTGAAACGACTATTTACATTTCGGTTTGGGCTTATAGTCTCGGAATTACAGGAGAATTGCTGACAAATACACCTATACCAGCGAGGACACCGTCAGATCTCCTAAATATCCAACAGTTGCAGTGTTGAAAAGGGTAATTAATACGGTTTATAGAACAAATTAATGCGCGTATACAATAAAACTTATGTTGATGCTGGGTGCAGGCCACTTGTTTCGTATAAGAAGGTTTAGGTAATTGGCCAATGACTTACTGTTTGGATACTAAGAAAGAACGCCGAAATTTAAAAGTTTTAGAGAGATAGAATGAAAAGCATTAGGTTAGCAGCAGCATTTAATGTCAAACATTAATTTTTGTTGAATAACAATATTTTCATGTTCTGTATATACTGCTCAAACATACACAAATATAGAAGGTTTTCCTTCAAAAAGCATTTTTAAATATAAGGGAAGTAACTGAAATATTACACGTTAACAAATTTTTACACAGTTGTACTCCTTTGCTTTGTTGCGTAACATAGCAATTTAAACATATTTATTCTTCGTTAACGGATGCTTTGAGCAAATTGTTGATTGAACAGTTTCGCAAATTTAGAGTGACACAAATGTATATAAATGTTTAATTATTTACAGAATATAACTTTATTTTTTGAAAGCATGGTTTTTATCATTAACACGCGCAGATGTGTATTAGGCGATTTTTATAATGTCGTGGTCAATGTCATTGATCTGAAATCGCAAATCTTCCCCACTCTGTCGTGTGTTCAAATTCTGCTTAGTGTCCAGCTTTATTTTCATTCCCTGCAAAACGCTGTATTTCCTATAAATAGGAAATAAAATAGTAAGGAATCTATTTATTTAACGTCAACATATACATGTATATCTATGTAACTGTATGTATCATATGGAATCGCATAAAAATAAACAAAATGAAAAACTGAAACTAAAAAAATGATTTCATTTCTGTTCAAGATCTAATTCTATATTGCGAAATGTAAATCTATATATATACAAAGGGGTGTCCGTGGCGAGTGTCTGACCCCTTGCTCTCACTTTCGTGGGCTTGAGCCGCGTCAGCGTCTTTGAATTATTTAATGTGAGCAAACTATCCAGCTAGCTAACGGGACATTAGTAGTTCTTTCTACAAAGGTGCCGCCCGTTTGTGTCTCAAAAAATGTACGGGGGTTGAGGGTGGACGCTGAGGTCTTCTTTTCACCAGTAAAGCTGGAATGACGTTACAAGACCTTTACTGTGTTGGTGCGACGTAAAACCTTTCCAAAAATATATGTGTACAATAATGTTGGGTAATTTTTTTAGATGTGTGAAGTTGGCGGTCTGGCGACCAAGTGGTGGCGTGAAGTAAGCGGTCTAAATTTTTAATTTGTAGTAATGTTATAAAAAGAATAAAAACGGCAATTAATGGTGTTCTAAAGACAATCCTTGTCCTTTTAAGTTATTTAAAGAATATATAAAAAGTAAAAATCACTTTGAGAAAACTGTTTTAATTAATCTTTTTTTGTGAAGTTGGCGGTCTGGCGACACGGCGGCCTAGCAGCCTAAAAGTTTTAATATCAAAGAAATTAAAACGACTCTTAATTAAGTTTTAAAGACATATGTTATCAAAAGTTACATAAGAGAAGAAAATCACATTAATAAATCTTTATTTATTCCAGGGGACTGGGAGTCGGAAATTTTACTGTCGTAGAAATTTATAAAGACAATACAAAGGCACTTATTTTAACTTTTAAGACTATTCTTGATGTTTAAAAGGTAAATAAAAAGAAAAAAATCAGTTTGAGAGATTTTTATTCTATCATTTTTGTTAAGTTGGCGGCCTGGCGGCGAAGCGGCCTAAAATTTTAATGTTGTAGTAATGTTATATAAACAATAAAACGGGATTAAAAGTTCTAAAGACAATTCTTGCTTTTTAAAGGATATATAAAATTAAAAAATCACTTTGAAATAATAATTTTTGTGAAGTTGGCGACTTTACCGGAAAAGTTGTCCGATCAGATTTACATTTAATGAATGTTATATTTCATTAACACACTGCTACTTGAGAACATGAAGTTTTACACTGATTTGTATTCAGCATAATTCAAATCAGCTTAAGGTGATAAATGACTGATCCTTAGCGATGAAAGTAATACATTACGTGTAGATGCAAACCTTCTACAAATGTGCAAATATAGTTGCAAGTTAAGAAAGCAAAGAATAAACATTTAACCAACTCTTAATACATTAACCAATATTGTTATAAAAGAGGAAATTAATACACAATCTTTACAATGATTTGGAAATAATCTCATATAAACAATGCACTCAAAATCTGGTTCTGTTCTTATATAAGTTGAATGCTATAACCACTGCGCTTATTTAGGTTTACATTTATTCTATTTTATTTCAATAAAATACAGCTCAAATGACGATGTTATTCACCGCATTTTGTTGGAACAGATCACGGGTATTTCTAACTAACTTTTTTTTAATTTTACAAATTAACTGCTTAAGTCATGAGTA